AGAGGTGGAAAGGGATGAAGGAGAACTAGCATGCTGTTGTGGAGCAAACAGATGCTAACACCATTTGGCACAAACAGTTATTTGCACTGGCAGCCACAGCTAATCCATTATGGCTGGAGTTGTAACTGGGTGGCAGCGAGCAAGGCAGTTCTGTACAGACACTAGAGTAACAAGCAGTGACAATGAATATGTAGTTGCAGAGAGTATGGAGATGCTAGAGCAAATATTCTCATGAAGCATCAACAGTTTCATAATACTTCCTGGTTTTCCTTAAGAAAATAATCTGATTTCTAGATGTCTCATGCTTAGTCCTGGATAAGAAGCGTAACTCACTTTTTAAGCCAGCCTGTAACTTCATGACATGGACAATTGAAAACACCTCTCCTCCATTGCAACAGATTATTCTTCCTAAGTAATAAATTACCCCAAAATACAGGTATGGTCAAAACTCAGATTTGCCAAAAGTCACTATTTAAAATCAATAAGCTCACAAGGATAAAAATAATGCTCCTGATTATGGTGAGCAGGGACTCACCCTTGATCACACAGATTGATAGAGAAATAAATACATAAAAATCCTTATCAAGACCAAAAAAAATTTACTCTGTGTGTATGGGAAACTGTTGGCTACTGTGTTAGGCCTGGAAAGCAAGTTTTATGTTAGGGCTGGAAACAAGATCCCAAACACATAAAGAGCAGAAAGACAAACTTCTACTTCCCTGATGTTTGTTTTTTTAAAGCTATAATACATGTTAAGAATGACCCAGGTCTGTCCCAGCAGGGATATATATATATACCCGGTTAACTGAGAGTAATATTCTTATATTTTCAAATGTGGAAGTTTGCTTTAATTACTGTGTGACCCATGCTGCCCACTCTCAGTCCCATGCAAACTTCTTGGCCAGCTTATTATCCAACAGTGGTTTGTCCTAAGCTAGAGCTTGAGAAATTCCCAATAACCCTCTTCTTTTGCGGGCTGGGAGCTTGCCAGGACCCAGAGGGAAAGACAGAATCAGAAACACAGCAGGTTCCAGGACACAGGCTCCTTCTGCTGTTATTGCAATTTGAAGCAAGCACCACTGGTAGCAAAGAGCCCAACCTATTTCTTTCTGAGCAGCTGCCACTAAAATTTGCTTTGAGTTCATACACAGAACTTTGTTCCCACTGGCCACCTTCTCCATCATGCAACCAGGGCATGAAATTTTACTATATTTAAAACTAATTTACAGAATACAGTCCATATTAATCTTACATTATAGGAAAACAAACATATTTGGTTGACATTACTCCCCTATGAAATATAATGATTTTTATACTGTATGAAGTATAAATACATATTCTTCCTCAGAAAATGGTCCTAGAGCACTAGGACAGTACAGATGAACCACAGGCTCATCTGTAGTTTTGAAAAGGCTTTTGTTTTGGAATGACAATCTGTAGTTTATTTTATTTCGACCTTCAGCAGGTCACAGGATTTACCTCCTATACCCTTGCCAATGTCAGCTGGCTCATAATAAACATTCATATTTGTTTTATGACCCAGACCAGCTGGTCGGGTTTATATACAGTAAGAATGAGAAATCTGACAAAAACAAGTGATTCATCTTCATAATCTGAGTAAAGGCTGGACCCTTCAGTAGAATCTTAAAACTATTCCTGTATTTGTTCAGGTTGCTGGGCTTGCTTATTATTATTTTTTATTACCATTGATTAGATGCAATCTTGAACATTCAGTACTTTCAGTAAGAGGGATTTACTTCATAACTGGAAAAAGCTTTCCTGGCAGGTAGCTTGCTAGACTTTCTCCATTTGATACATGCTGATGTTCTGCTGTGATGGCAGAAGGGAGGAGCTACTGATCCACTCATTTGCGTTAAATTGCTTTCACTTTCAGTTGAAATGATTAAGAGTGACCTGAAATGATGTAGGAAAAGGATATAATTAAGGTTGGTGTAATGCTGTCAACAGATTGGTGCAATGCTCTCAGAGTTTGTGTTGAATCCATTTACAGTGATAACTGCACTGTACACATTGGTGGCCTGGGGCCCAGATTTGGCCTGGAGGATAAACCCATCCAGGCTTGCTGCAAGAAACAGGGCACAACACTCATGCAGCAAAGCTTGTCCTAACTAAGAAATATCTTCCACCTACACTCAAACATCACCTGAAGTTGGGGGCTGTTGCTTCTACAGTGACCAGCACCAACGAGTTACGCTGGGGAGGTGCTGTAAGGGGGAAAAGGCAGTTGGCTGAGGTTAAAATACTGCTGTAAGTTTATGCGTCATGCTGGATGCTGTAGGGATGGCAAAAATATGTACCCTCTAGCTATCACTGCATACCTCAGTAGGAAAAAAGTCTGTACAGCATTGCCAGCAATGGCTTGTGACCTGAAGGGACAGGGGACTGGAATGTATTGGAGGAGGGAGAGACAGAATGGGTGTTTCTACAGTTCACACAAATTCAACATATTGATCCCTTTCAGATGCCCCTTTTTGTAAACCTTTTATGGTTTGTTCTGGTTTGGAAGGTGAAGCCCACCTCCATGGTCCTCAGCATCCTTGTCTCTCTTGTGTTACAGGAAGTTCCTGCCCATCATCAAGTCTGAAAGCTGTCATAGCAGACTACCCTAATTAGTTTATATAGAGGAGCAATACCCATTTGTACAAGCAGGTCTTCACAGAATAACCACTTACACACGAGCCACGTAAGACCTTCAGAAAAAGTTTACAAGGAGATTTGATTCAGATATACCCAAGCCCTCTGCAATCAGCAAGCATGGGTACCAAAGGCAGAGTACCTGCAGGAGCACTGGCTAACTGGCTCTGTTTAGAGGATGTGTTAGCATGCAAAAACAGCGTGCCAAGGCAGCCAAGCTCATTCGAGCATCCAATTCTACTTATTCAAAAAGGCCTTGGTTACCCCACAAGGCTCCACTTTCCATCACATAGGCTTACGTGAAACACCTGCTAGTTCGGAACAAAGGTGCAGGCAAAAGGCTGTTTGTGCTGTAGTCATCTGCCTATGCTATTAATATTACAGGTTGGGTTCTACCATTTGCTTAGAGCAGGGATGGAACTGATTCACGCTGCCTGGGTGTGTGAAACTGAACACCTACACAGCCATAATATCACTTAAATGTCCAGACTGTTGTCTTCTATTTCAAGAAATAACATTCCAAGCCATAGGAATGCCCTTCTCCAAACATAAAACCTTCCCTGTGCCAATAGAATATGCCATGAAAAGCTGAAGATCCTTAAAATCTGAATAACATGCCAGGGAAGTGAACTGACTGTGCCATGACAAAATGTATATCCACTGTGAGAAGATTATTCAGCATCCTGCAGTTCAGACTAGCTTGCTTTCAAGTTCTGTAAGTCAAATTCACTGGCAACATCAGGCATCGATTCAAAACAAAAGAATATGAACTGAAACGGTAGAGCATGAATAATCTCTTACATTCTTTTCCAATACAGCATATACATGGTAAAGATTTTGCTTAAAGATTTGCTCTTTACTGCACCTTCTGTGACAGACTGAATTATGCCTCAATAGAAAAATCAATTAAAATGACTACTGAATAGTTCTTTATCTGCCACCAAATAATCTTCCCCCAGAAGAGATAATATTTCTGCACTGTGTTATACATGAATTAGCCCTGCTGTTCTAAACAGATCGGATTTGAGATCTGAAGCCTGCAGCTTTACAAGGGTGAGCAGGCAAACCACAGGGTTTTTATAAGCACAAAATAACTTATAAATATGTAGCATCACTCTAAAACCTAATTTTTAAGAGATTCTCCACACCTCACATTCCCCCTATGATTTCTGATCTTTACTGCAAATGACATGAACTAACATTTCTGTTGGTCTCTCCCCCCTGCACGCGAGCAGAGACCTACACTGCTTATCCCTCAGCCCTCAGTCAGCCTGCACTCAGAACCTCTCACTGGAAGAACTGCAGCATGTGTGGACAAATAGACAACAACAGATCACAGTTTTAAAGCATTAGGAAATTACTGCACACTTGAATTTCTGGGAAGCTCAGACACAGGTTCACAGTTGATGGCTGTCTTGTACTTCTCCCTTGACCACAGAGACACCACCGCTCTGATAATTGGGCTCCCTGTGTGCTGAAACCACCACTTAGCCCTAACGATCAAAGCTGATGGCTTTCTTGTTTACCCCATTGCATACATCTGCTTTCCCTTTTCTTATCCTCTGCCTGCAAGTGCTCTGACATCTTTTATTCCATTTTTTCTACCATGTTTACCATGTGAGTGCTATACTCCATAACTGACTCCTATGCACTTCCACAGTGGCTCAGGTTCAAAAAGGAGGAACAAAAAACCCCAAATTAGCAACCCAAACTTTTGAGCTCTCAGGATGATTGAATCCTGACCCAAACTCTGACTTGCAGATGCACTTTTTCTCACCCTTACCATGTATTCAGTGAGATCTCAGTAACCCCAGCAGACTTACCTAAAACTCGCTTTTTCTTTGAAGTAACATGGTGAAGAATATGAAAATAAAAAATATACTCAATCACATTCCTCGAAGACAGAAGTGAAGAAAATATGAAAGGTACTTCTACTAGGAAAAAAAGTAGCCCCTTCACATATAGCAAATGATGTAAAACATCTCTTCACATTTGGCTGAGAAGACGTTACTTACAGCTTTGTACCCTTCACAGCCCTCTGAAACTTGTCACATGTAATGTCATTTGCCATATTAAAGCCTTTACTATACAGGACCTTCGTCTACCAATAGAAAGGAATTCATGCTAGGTATGACAATTTGTAGATCACAGTACCGTGAGGCTGTTAAAAAAATCTGGAAGATATATGCTCAGTTTATCATCTGACTTAGTCTCTAAATCACAATATGACAACATTTTATAGTCACTTCCCAGCACCAAGGTTCAAAAGAGTTTTCTTTTCATTTTAATGATTATATTTATACACATCAATGTCGTCTCATTTGAATTCTGAGAAAAAAGAGTACCTTCGAAGTCCCCATCTCTGGCTTTGGCTGCAAGTTCTGAGGATGATATACTTTCTTGACATAAAGCACAGTCTTCCAATGCTGCATTCCTTAAACCCTGATTAACTGTAAAACAAACCAATAAGCTGAATTAATATTTTTCCAATTTTCACTCAAAATATTCATGTTAGGATGTTCAGGATTAGTTTACAGTAGCATCTGTACCTTCTTATATGTTTTCCTTTTTCTTCACCCTAGTACAGTGATTTAAAAGTTTCCTCTATTCTTTGGAATGACAACAGAAATAAAAGATGCTGTGATTACTGGACACACAGTCATCTTACTTCTAGCAGTTTAGCTGCATCTTGTATTTTATTTCCCAGTTCTTAACTAGGATGCTTTACAAGATATATTGTGAGAACAACCAGAGATTCCCTAGGTGAATCAAACATCAAATCACATACATCAAAGCAAAACTTTATCCGAAAGTCCCTGACCACTATTTGTTAATTTTGCTTCTGCTTACTTTTGTCAGCAACTTTTTTCTAATGTAATTGTTTACTGATCAGGAAGTTTTCCAACCAAGTACAGTTGACTACCATATCTATCCTAGTGATAATTCTTTACAGCTCCATTTTATTTATTACTTTTATTTGCATGCTCAGGAGTGCTTTGATCCTCAGCAATTCTCTCTAACCCCTTTTTCTCTTGCTAATGAAAAAACAGTCTCTTGTCATGTCATGACATGCTGCCACCATAGAAACATTGTGGAAGTGTGGATCACAAGTAGTAGAGGACTGTAATGCATGTTGTGCATTATCTCACTGCAGATACCAGTTGGATTGGAGGACATTCTGCTAAATTTAACCAGCTTCTAACTTAGTCATTCATGTAAAATCCTCATGAAACTGGGAGAAAGGGAAAGCAAATATTTCTATCATGAGGAAAGGGAGGGAAAACCAAAAGAACTCTGATCACCTTCAGATGCTGATAGGTCTAATCATAACAAAGGACAAAGGTAATTGCAGTCTTGCTGTGATGACATTGTTATTCTTAGGTAAGTTAGCAGACTTGCCTCTTTGAAAAAGAAATAATCAAAACGGTGTCAGAGAATAAAAAATCTTGCTCATTATCTAGTTCTGGTTTCATTATCTTAATTATCAAGAATATTATCTAATTATCTACAACTGGATATTTTTCTATATTGAAGCCAAATTCAGCATCCTGCAGTTTCTACAAGACAGATCAGATTTCAGTATTTTTCTGAGCATTCTCATCTTTCAGTCAGCTCCTTTTGCATAGCTATTTAAACTTCATAATCCATGGTACATGTCTGGGCAAATTAAAATGTGTCCATCGGGAAAAAAAAATGATCTAGCAAGTCCAAGTCCTGCTTACATTATGTTATGACCACACGGGCTACAAGTACTGTTTGTTGTACATAGGAATATGGAAGGGAACAGATGCACTCAGAAAGCCTGAGCTCTTTCAACATCTGCCTCAAGACATACTCATTGTACCAATACTTCCAGTGACTTCATCCAGTTTACAGTCTGTTTCCATGCCTTTTTAAAAACTTAAGCCTAATCACTGTACAAAGCGCTGCCAAAAAGTTACCAAATGTTACGGAAACTCTTGTCAAACACTTCATGGATCCCCAAGGGGCCAACAGCAGAAATTCACTATAGAAAACTAACAGCTAAATATCTTACCTTTCTTGTGCTTTTCCTTGTCTTCTGTTTCAGGTTTGGTTGCCATAACTTCAAACAAGGTCTTTAAGATACTTCTCAGATCACTGGCATAGTTTGTCTGCAGTTGGTCAGCAACACCTAAGCATTTGAGAAAACGGGTAAACAATTGCTAGACTATTAAACCACCCTTAAAAATAGTATTTACATTTGTCTGTTGCTACTAGTAATGGCCTCATATTTATTTTTGAGGGGATCACTTTCTCATGTTAGTATTAAAATTTGAAAATTTAAACAGACGATTTTCTATAAATGGCCAAGTCACATTCTGGCCTCTATGCCACCTGCAATTTGAAACATATTTTCCTTGTCCTTTGGCAGGAACAGCAAGAGATTCCTTTTGCATCAAAATACATCTGCAACCAATTTCTCCCCTTGAGGGCATGGAGCATCAGCAAGAAAAAGGAAGCACTTTTGGGTCAAACCTGTTGTATGCTCAAACTCTTGATCATCTAACTTTATGCACACCAAATATTTGGAAAAAAAAATAATAGTTTTTAAATTGAGAAGAAAAGGCTACTCTCATACCTGAGATACAGACAAAAAGGCGGTGAATAAGATCATTACTGCCATGAAATCTGGATCTGATCTTTTCTCGGGTGGCAATTTTAGCAGCCTGCAAAGCGAGCTGGATTTCTTCCTGATCAATGTCATCAGATGAACAAGAACTCGTCATTAAACTGCTGTTTGAGGAAAAAAAAAAAGGTAAAGGAAAGTAATGTAAATCTTCACTCAGTTGTTCAGAATGTTCAGCAAATCCTAAAGGATTTATGACTCAGGCAAGACTCTATAGCAAATCAGAACTAATTGCTGTAAATTCTTGTTGAAGTTAATCAACATGCAATCAATCACCAGCATCTTTGATTTTCACTCTGCAGCATAGCTGCAGAAAACTTAAACAGAAAATCATGTCTATATTTTATTGCATTTTCCTTAGCTATTACAAAGTGCTGTGCAATGTTTCACATTAACTTCTCCTAAAAGCTCAGCCCGGAGACCATAACTCCATGAAAAATCCAGAAGGGGACTATCAACCTAAAAATAAGAAGGTCAGTTCTGATGTCAACTTAGAAATTTATTAATGTGGAAGCTAATTTGAAAAAAAAAATAAAATTTATGACTTACATTACCTTAAAATAGTGAGGATAGAATCTAAATATATCAGTACAGAAAAAGAATGAAAAGGAAGAGAGATTATAATTTACACAGTACAGAGGTAGATTAGTCCCCTTATACATCTAACTGTAGAAATTGCTGAAATGTTAAACTACTGTAACAGAACGGCCTGTCAACTCTAAAGGGTTTAAAATACGAGATTTAAATTTGCTTTTAAAAGCCAGATGCACACTTGCCAGCCATTTCCACCCCCAACTTTCTTTATGGAGAGGAAGGCTGAACAACCTGAGACTGCAAGAAAGCTTTGGAGGGAATCCAGTTTCTTCAAGTACCAGAAATTACCTAAAGTATTTGTAAATCAAGATGGTTTTTGTTTGTTTTGTTTGCTTGTTTTTAAAGGAAATACTTAGGGAGAATGCAGAACTTTGCCAATGGAAAAACCCCTCACTGGGAGCAGAGTGCTGGATGTAATTGCACTGAAGTGCTCATAATTCACTGTGTTGACCAAAGGAAATGTGCCTTCTTACTCTACTGCATTCAGAGACATAGGAACACTAAACCATTTTTCCTATGTATTGGAAAGAAGTTAATCTCACCAACAATTACAAAAAAAATAGAGTATTTTACTTATAATCATACTTAGGCTGTCCAAAACTCCAGAACTCTCAACTAGGCAGACAACTACCATGTTAAAAAAAAAAAAAAAGTTACAGTCACTAAGTACTTAAACAGCATGCAGAATGAAGGAAATAGTTTCTAACAAAATGCAAGTTTCATCTGCTTTTATTAGGTGCTGCAGCATTCACCAACTTGCAGATCCCATCCCTGTGACAACATGTATGAACAGTTACTGCAGGATAAGACACAAAGGTAACATTTATAATTACTTATGGAAAAATTTGGTGGGATATAGTTTTGAAATTCTACCTGTAGGCTATACAGGTAATCCTTTAAAATATAAACAATAATTTACTAGGCCGTAGGATCTTAAAAGTCCTAGTAAAAACAGAACTGAAAAAGTAACACCTGGAGATTACTTTTTGACAGAAATATAAATGGAAAACGTGTAGCATGAGTAGCTTAACTGACCTCTTTCAAAGAGTAAAAAGCAGGCCTGCAAAAAACTCATTTTGTTCATGTTATCTATTGCCATTAATAAAAGCAAATCCTTGTCAACAGATGTTAGTTCTATGTTTACAGCTCCCTCAGCACTATGACTGACTAGGCTTATTAAAGATACTGAGATTGGGGTGAGAATTCTCTCTCAGTTTTTCCCTTGCTTTCCCATAGGGGATATTTTCTATTGTGTATCTATAGATACATAGATAGCAAGCCTGTCAGTGTGGAAAGGTCTGTGCTCAAGACAATGAAAAGGTCGGGTAAGGTGTCTCACGAAGGACTTAAGACCCAGGGAGCAATCCCTGATTCACAGTGACACGCAGCACATGGTTGCCTATTTGCACAAATGCTCACATACCAGATAAAGGAGTTTGTCTGCCTCGTTAACATGGCTGAATAAGGTCTACTATTTTTTTCTTGTTTTTAAAATAATTGACCTTACAGTGATACACACATTAGCACTATAAACTGCTCTCCAAGGCAAGCATGGACCTCATGACAGAGACAGATGCAGTCTGGATGTAATTTTATGATCCCAGTGCAATGGCCTCCCTGAAACTCCCAATAAGCAAAAACCTTAGTGCAGGAGACAGCAAGGATGCTGATTCAAGGATGACTCTTCCCTCCAGATCACAGTTGAAAAAATATTTCAAAGTAAGGTGTTAAGTGGGTAGAGAGCTGTGAAGAGTGCTCTTTGAGATTATGAACCACTTAGTCCTTTCCCATTTTGCAGAAAGGAGGAAAGGTTCACTCCACAATTCTGACCAACTCTCATCAATTTTAGTAATAATGTTTGCCTTTCAAAGTCTTCTCCAGCTGGGAGAAAGGCAGTTTTACCTGCTTCCTAATTAATCCAAGAAATATAGTTTGACCCACTTCCATTCCAGGCCATTTTGTGTCAGATGTTGTGGTCTGTCACTAAGACTGGTCACATCCCACCACAAGCCTGCCAGGAACATTTTTGTCCTAAATGTCCCTAGCACAGAGCACATATGAATTGCTTCAGCACTGTGGGAGGGAAGGTCAGAATGTATGCACACTCCCATGCATAACATACTTTCATATGCACAGTGACATGTAAACTACAATATCCATACACAAGAGTATCAGAAAATAAGATCTTTTCTATTCAGGATTGCTTATGCCATGGGAAAGACGAAAGTGAATGTTTTGGAATAATTTAAACTGGACTTAAGAACTACTACAGAGTTAAAAACAATTACCCCACTGTTACCAACAGGATCAAGTCAGATTTAGATGAAAATGACTCTCAAAGAATGACTAATGACCATCTGTTCTTTACTTTAAAATATATCTTGCCGTTGAAAAATGTAGCCAGAAAATATTGTAGAGGCAGTCAGAAATACTGTACGAAGAGAAACACAACAATTGTTTCAGAAAAACAACAAAAGACACAGCTTTGCTTATAACAGGGTATCTCAAACAGCAGTGATTCCATCTATGCAAACATTAAAGATTCTCTTGATTTTTAAATTGGCATTATAGGAAATAAATCTGAATTTTGATTTACAGAGTTCAGCTTAATTTTTCTGCAAATTATTCTTTTAAACAAGTTATTTTTTTATTTCTCTAAGGAATACCATTCCTACTTGACTTATCTAACGAATTCTCAGCTGATGCCAAATATGTAGGAAGCATTTCATTAACATCAGACTACACAAAGATCTGGAATGTTTCACCACTGATATCTGCAGAATCAACTATCACTGCAGAATATAAATAGCCATAGTTAGTAACAAGAGACAAGTCCTATTTTCTCAACTTTTTGGTTGAAGGGAACCCTGCATTACACAAAGAATTAGGTTAAGAAAACGTAAGAGCCAAAATAAGCATGGAATATATCCCTTGGGAAATCTTTATAATATAAACAATGCTCATTTTAAAAATTATTTTTCATACTGTGAAAACATTACAAAGTTAACATGTCTGAAGGCAAATATGAAGAAATAAAACATTATGTAAAAGGCTGATTTCAAACAGTAAACCTGCCTATATGTTAAAAAGGAACAGATACCCTGTGCCAGAAACAATGGATTAGCTTTTTACCTAATTTGACTAGCCATTTCAAAACTCCTCCCCATTTGTCATGTTAGAAGAGCAGCAAGGTCTTTCAGCACTTCAAAGCACACAAAAGGACACTGCAACTATGAACCATGCAGAAAGCTTTTCAAAGGAACAGAAGTCTGATTCTTAAATATCAATTACAGTTTCTTAAAAAAATTATGACAGACTGCCTGAAAATAACCAGTGCAGTTTCTTGGACTTAAATTACATAAATTAATTTCCAGTTATAATCCTTAACAAATCTCTCATGTCCATTACTCAAAAAGTCACATTTTGAATAACTAAGATAACTATATACACATGTATATCTGTATCGTGTACATGAATTTTCATTTATAGATACATATATTTTGAATATTCTAGGGTTTTTATTTCTCAAGAAAACATTATCATGAGCTCCCTGGTTTTAATTTTTCTTCATATGAATTTAGGACAACAGCCACCTTATGCTCTGTGTGCAGTATCCATAACAAACTTTTTATCCAACCTATGATATTTAAGGCTCTTTTCTCTCCTATCTGAATTTTTTCATACTTTCAGTAAATTAAAAAAAAAACAACAACCAAATGAACTTCAAAATTTCTGCAAGCAAATCTATGTTATTGTCTGTACACAATTTCTAAAACTAATTCAGCAACTGGTACATCCATCCCACTGATACTTGTGTAAGCTGTAACTGGAAACATCACCAATAACTTGTCAAGATGTCTTTCCCAAGCTTACTCTTACTTTTATACTTCATAAGTCCCTTCTCAGCTCTGGGTTCCAATTTGAAAACAAGCAAACAACTGCTTCATGGAACATCCAAAAGATCAGACAAGAGTTCAGGAAAGCCAGAGGTTGTACACATGAGGAATGAGAAAAGAAAACTGACAAGGGTTTGGTAAAGAGAAGCATGACTCCCTATCAGTAAAAATCTTAATTACTACTTCCTGTTCTGCTTTTTTCATGACCTCTGGCATTTCATTTTGAATTGCTTCACAAGATACACAATAAACACCACGTTAAAACCCTTTGACTTCTTAACATGACCTAGTTTTCATACAGTTGGAAGGAAAACTATAGGATGAATGGCTCACAGCACCTCAATATCTCTCTTGAACTGTTGTGCCCAGAACTGGACACAACACTCCAGGTGTGGCCTCACCAGTGCTGAGTACAGGGGGACAATCACCTCTCTGCTTCTGCTGGTCACACTATTTCTAATACAGGCCAGGATGCCATTGGCTTTCTTGGCCACCTGGGCACACTGCTGGCTCATATTCAGCCACTTGTCACTTAGAACACCCAGGTCCTTTTCTGCCAGACACTTTCCAGCCACACTTCCCCAAGCCCGGAGCGTTGCCTGGGGTTGTTGTGGCCC